AAACCCAAAACTTCACTTTTGAACCTTTAAAGTCAAATGAATTTATCCAGAACCAGTGATGATGTCAGCATGTGGACCTGATGGAGCGGCGTTCCTGCTGCGTGTGGTTGTGGCTAAAGGGAAGCTAAACCACTGTGGGACCTCGTACGCTGATATTCATGGCAAAGCCTATTCTTGAATGTTGACCACCTGTTGAACTGGAGCAGCATCTCCAGCAGACCAGGTCCATCAGCTCCTGATGACGCAGCGCTGACGTCCCTCACCAGGTCATCGGCGTGGAGTCCTGTGATTTACAGGTGAGAATAAACACCTGGGACGCCCGTCAGGCGGTTAGAACCAAGGCAGCCTCCTGGACCAAAATGGAACATCTTTTAAAGCCAGATTTAGTCCAGTTTCCCTTTAATGAGTCACTTCAAGAGTATTTGAACACAAAACTAGAACCATTTCTCATAATCCTAATCTAATCTAAATGTACTGAAGAGTTACGAGTTCCTCTTTTAGTTTAGATCTGTAACTCAGTAACATGAAGGTATCTGTTGTCTGTGTTTTCATCCTGGACCAGGACTCACCTGAACCCTCGCTGTTGTTCTGTGTAAAATGGGTCTCTGCTCAGAGCGCCGATCAATCAAACAGCAGCTTCACAGTCGTACAAAAACAACAGTTTTATTCACGTTTAGGTGTTTTACCCTCAAAACCCCGAAGAGCACCTGAACGCAGTGTTGGACGAGCTCTCTGGAAACACTGTGACAACGTTTGGAGAACGTCACTTCTACGGCAACACACGACACCACGCAGACAGACGGAACCGGACGAGTGTGGACGAGGCTGTGGTGCCTTCAGGAACAGTCCGTCCGTTCACCGACAGCAGACATCCAGACGAAAACCTGAACATCTGGAACTAAACAGGTGACGTCACATCTGGACCACAGCTGCCTCATATTTCAGCTCAAACCTGCTTCCAACCTGCTCACCATTTTACAGAGTGTCCCTGAACACACCATTTATTTATTATTACTATTATTATTATTATTATTTATTTTACCGGGTTGAAGTGATTGAGAACCAGTTCACAATCACAAACATAACCTGGGACCACATGGCTGCTTTCAGACCAGGACCAGGTTTATCTGATGGCAGAGATCTCTACAGCAGACCCAGACCAAGACCAAGACCAGGACCAGGACCAGGACCAGAACCAGGTTCTGGTTCTTCTGTCCCTCTTGGTGTATTTGGTGCTAGAAGCTGCAGGTCAGCAGGTCACTGCTAACAGCACCGTGGACGGATCAGCTGCAGGTCATTATGCTAACAGCAGTCTGTTATATTCAGAGCTGGAGAACAGTCGGACTGCTGCTTGTCATCCTTCGGTTCTGTTCGTGTTCCTTTAAGCCAGTCGCAGTGTGTCGGGTGGGCCTAAGAACAGGAGGTGGTGTTTACTCAGAATAGAACATCATTAAGCAGCCTTTCTGCATCTTCATCCATCCATCATCTCTACACCTCTCCATCCACTGAATGGTCATGGGGGGCGGAGCCTATCCCAGCTGACTCAGGGTGAAGGCAGGTTCACCTGGACAGGTAACCAGTCTATCACAGGGCTACACTTAGAGACAGACAACCAAGCACACTCACATTCACACCTACGGACAATTTACAATCACCAATTAACCTCAGCATGTTTCTGGACTGTGGGAGGAAGCCGGAGAACCCGGAGAGAACCCACGCTGCACAAGCACCCCTTTACCACCAAGAAGAACCAGGTGCTAGTTCCAGAGCTCAGTTGGTTCCAGTCTAAGAACCGGTTGCTTTTCCATTGATCAGGAGCTCAGTCAGAGCCGTACGTCACCGCATACGGAGCCGTTTACCGAACAGCGCTGGCGCCACACAGAAGTCCACACAGGAGTCCAGACTGACTTTGGTACCGGTGCGACCAACTTTCTCATTTGTTCACACTTCTCACCTGGTCACAGGAAAAACATCTGACCGGCTGAACATCTGCTGCTGGAGGCCGCGGTGCTCAGACCGGTGTGCGACCAGAGATGACTTTAACAGAGTGAACCAGGACGTTCTGGTGTCAGATCTGTCCAGGATGAAACCCAGTGATCTGTTCTCATGAGGTCTTTTCTATGAGCAGAACAAACAGCACGTAGCTGAGCTCCGTTTTTCATGAGACATCTGTGATCGGACCAGAGACGTCCCGGACAAAAACGACACAAATCACCGCTTGTGTGTCCCATCCATCGGTCTCGGTGGATCGATAGCCCCGCCCCCAGCCCCTGACGGACTCGGTGCTGAGCTCTGGCCCAGCAAAGAGTTGGTGCCTGAAAAGCAGCAGTTCTGAGAGCCTGGAGCCGGTTAGGGTTAGTTAGTGGACACACAAAGAACTGGTGCTAAGTCAGGAACTAGCATGGAACGAGACCTGGAACCGGTTTGGTGGAACAAGGGGAGATCTTCTAGCTGTGAGGCGACGGAGCTAACCACTGCTCCACCATGTTCTGAACAAAACTTTGCATTTTCAGAGCTGAGGTTGCTGCTCAGAGGTTCTCTATGTCAGTAACCACACAGCTCTTCTACCTTGGTGCTACTCAAAGCACTTCACCATGTGTTTCTCATTCACCCATTCACACACCAATGGGACTGGTAGACTTGATTAGGAGCAACTTTGGGTTCAGTGTGTTGCCCAACGACACTTTGACTGTGGAGGGGATCAAACCGGCAACCTTGTGATGAGAGGACAACCTGCTCTACCACCTGAGCCATGTGAAACGTGCAGCCAGTAGCAGACTGATGCACACAGTCTACATCCGGTCAGTCGCACTAAGAGCAGGATGCAGGGACACATCACTGGAAAACAGCGATGGGGGAATGTTTTGGTGGAAACTCTGCATGCAGGAAGGCGAGTCATCATTAAAACGGCTCTGAAGGAGGTTCTATTTGGACGGTTCCTGTAGTTCGACCAAAGGTCTGGGTTCCCTGAAACTAACCACAAGTTTCTGCAGTGGAAAATAAACGACTAACGATGGAGGAGGTCAAGCCAGATGGATGGACGACTGAAGAGGAGGCGACTGTCCCCGTTTCAAACTGAGAGCATCTTTTCTTTAAACCCTAGCCACCTGTTTATCGTAACCTTGGAAACAAAGGTTCTCTGACCTAAACGATGTACTTATTCTAACCCAAACCAGGATCTTTCCCTGAATCTGTCAATCTGTAACCTCAACCGCGACTGCAAGCCCCAAGGAGCTCACCGCTTTCATCCGCAGGTCAGACACAATCGGCTGATTTGCAAAATGATGAGCAGGAATTGAAACATCTGGTTTGTAGGGCTGGACCCGAACATCCAAATATTTGGTTGCTGTGGTGGCATCCTGACATCAGTTTTGTGATCCGAATATTTTCCTGCCCGCATGGATACTCGCCATTAATTGAGCCCCGAGTATCCGGAGAACAGAACTTGCTATTCGGACCAGCCCTACTGGTTAAGACATGGCAGCTAGCGATCGGGTCCTTTGATCCTGTACAGAAACAAACCCAAGAAGAAGAAGAAGCATCTCTGGGGACAAACACCGTTAAAAAACTGTGCCGGGTTAGAAAGAGGCCACTATGCTACACTTCAGTGCGTCAGTTTCTACGCTGAAAGGTCGCTGTTGTCGAAGCGTTCCTGGTCATAGACCTCAGCGACCACCTTACGTCCTCCGAACCAGCGGTGGTTTAGTGCGTGGATGGCTCGGTTCATCTCAGCTGCCTCCATAAACTCTACAAAGATCTTAACAATGACGTCTGCGTCGTCCTCCTCGCCTTGGCGCTCCTGGTAGATGATGACTCGCTTCACCTGGCCGAACTTCCCACACTCCTCGGTGACCTCACCCTCCAGGTCGTCGTCGATGTCATCGGGTCCGACCATGTTCCTCAGGACCATGACGGTGGACTAACAGGAAATACAACAAGTCAATTAGCTCAGGTCATATTCAACATGTCAGACAGTGAAACTCTGCTGTTCTCATTCACACCATCCTTTACCCTTCTTAAAGTTCAGAGTTTCTCATTTTATTGAATCTAACTGCAAACTTCAAGTCTTCTCCTGTCCAACAGTCTAAAATTCATGTCTGAGTTCCGGCACTTCCTGACCAACAAATGCTTGTTTACTAATCAGATGGTTCTGGGTCAAAGGTGGAACCTCAGGTTTACCTGCTCGAGTCATCGAGTTCAGTCACCAACATTTCCATTTGTTTAAGGTTTACCATTAAACCCTCCAGTTACACTCTGACTGTTAATGCCTTGCTCCTGGCCACCGGATTTAGACGGTATCGGCCCGTTAAATAGCTGCAATCAGATCATTGCCATACGTACGGGCCAGTGAGGACCTCCTCCACCTTCCAGTAGCTCAGCAGGGTTCCATCCACTCATCACTGATCAACAGAAACTGACCTCAGCAGAGTGAGTGACCTGTTCTGTCATAGTTTGGTAAAATGTCCATCTATATACATATATTATCATTGCTGTAGTTGTTTTGATCTGGAACAGGAGCATGTTGCATTTCACTGTGCGATATACCATGCGTAATTGTGTTTGTGACAAATAAAGGCCTTGGATCCTCGACTCCACCACCATGACATGGAGCAACAATGACTTACTGAGCGAGAGGCCTTTTGGTCCTGTAGCTTCATAGCGCTACCGTCCCCACCTGCCCGTATGCATGGAATGGTCTACGTAATGGTCTGGCCCATCCGAGGGTGTCACCAGACTGGAGTGCTCCGTTACCTCCTGCTTGCGGAGCAGCTTCCTCATCACCATGTGTCTGGCGCTGCTGCCGCTGATGCTCATGTGCTCCTGCTCGCTGAGCGGCTCCATGGCACCATCCTGCTGGGCCTCCTGCTGACGCTCCTTCTCCTCCTCTTTCCTCTTCAGCTCAGGACCGAAGGAGGCTGCCGGAGCCAGGGGCGTGGCCAGCACCGGGTTCACCAAACCCACCTGAGGCAGGCCGGGTCTGGCCGGGGTCACGCCTGAAACAGACATGAAGCAGGAGGGACAGTCGGGTCAGGTGGGCGGTGCCGAGCGGCCGCAGAGGGCCGCCCAGTTCTGCCAGAGCACAAGAACCTCCGGCAGACTGGACCGACCCCCGGCCTCTTCTACCCACAGCTACGCTGAGGGCACTGGTTTACTGCACCTGTACCCGCCTGCATCATACGGGTGGAGTTAGGACTGACACGGTCAGACGGACTGAGGTAGTAGCTCCACCCGCCTGCGTTGTGTCACCCCCGAACCAGGTGCAGTAAACCAGTGCTCCCTCAGAATGCACAGTATCCTGACTGAGACTCCACCGGATCATGTTCTTCCTCTAGTGACCATGCTGAGTTGGAAACTCATACTTACGATTGGTGCAGAATATTCAGGAAACAGGAGGATGAAATGTTTTGGATTTAATCTGAGAGGATCAGAGGAGGATGAACAAACCCACTGACTCAAACCAAACACCCCCCACCCAAACCCTGCTCACATGACTCAACTCCACAAATCACACAGCAGCTGAGACTCACTGGCCAATAGGACTGAGGGGCTATGATAAAAGGGAGGGGCTAGAAACAGTCCTCTTCACTGGTTGGTCAGTGTGCAGCAAAGGGGAGGGGCTAAGAGGTCACTGTCGGGGCAAATGTTGGGGGTCGAGAGGGGGAGGAGGGGAGAGAAAACAGAGAGAGAGAAAAAAGACAATAAAAGAGAAAATCTATTAGTGGAGACGCTTCAGACGAAGCAACACAAACAACAGCTTGGGACATAGTGCGTCCTGCCTGACGGAGCGCCGCCTGCTGGACGCTTCCCTTCACTGCAGCTCCTCCTCATCACACTCAGACTTGGGCTGCGTTCCAAATCATATACTTTTTCTGTGACGTCAGTACATTCAGCAGTTTCTGGCAGTGTGTCAGAGTACATTTAGCCTGTGACTGTCTTCGGTCTCTGGCTCTCGGCCTGGACGGTGGATGCTGCCATAATCTGTTCTCACGCGACTCAAATCAAAATGCTGTTTAGAAGTGCCACTTTTTATGGTGCTACAACTGCAGCTTTCCCAGCGCTCCAGTGAGGTGTCTTCAGCTGGGACATGTCGAGCAAAGTCACAGATCAGGATCAGAGCAGATTGAGGATTTTTGTCCTGATCAGTATCCTTCATTCAGCACAGTTTGTGGCAGGACGTGAGAAACGCTCGTTTATTCTTAACGAGTGCAGACTTAACAATCAGTAATTGATTCATTCACAACACAAAATGGGCCCATTGGACATTAGCCTTGTGCTGATCGCACTATACTGAACAGTAAGAGGCTCCCCCTGGTGGAGCAAACAGGAGCTACAGCTGGTCTATGATGCTGAAGTCTGCATTATGAAGGAAAATAAAAGCGTTATCGGCAGATACTCAGTATCTACAGACTCAGATTGGAGTGGAGGTAAAACAACTTTGAATATTAATATTTTAGGCCATTGAAACCTTGTTAGCCACAATGGCTTTTCTGTGGAGTAAATTACGTTTCAAAAGCAGCAGGAACAACGTCCTAATCAAGAACATGAGTTTCAAACCTTCCCCTCTTGACTGCACAGCCCACACAGAACACTGGACTGTCATCAGATCAGGAGTGATTCTGGAGCAAATGTTCTCTTCAGATACAGTCCAGTGCAGGCACAACCACAAAACATTATTCAATCTAGATCAATAGCAGTACTTTAAAGGGTAAGGGGATCATCTGGTCAGGAAAACCAACATTTGACCCCCTGAAAACTGTAAAATTCACAACCATCCTACACCAGCTACAGCCAGGCCGTGAGCTCGCCCAGCACCGGGTCCTGACAGAAGGTGAATACCTGGTTATTCTGGCAGACAGCGAGGCGGGCCATATCTAACCCTCTGAACCCGGTACAACTGTGGCAGGCACGTTTCCTTGATGCAGTTGGTGTGGCTCTACTTTCCACTGATTGGTTGCAGACACTTTGAACTGATTGGCTGAACAGAAACACAGTGAAGACTACAGGGACCAGCAGCACCTCTCTGGCCTTGAGCAGTGAGCAAACAGACATGTTGATTTGAATTGCGTGAAAACAACTGAAATATTTTGATTCTCACACTTGGCAGCTCAGATCAGTTTCCACTCGCTCAGGCACTGTGACGTCATGGAACAGAGGATTGTGGGTATTTTTGGTGAACTGCATCGTACCGTGTATCGGGATCTGCTGTAATGAACAGTACAGAAGTACAGATGTTGGAACACACCCTTCATCTTTCATCCCGCTGAGATCAAGATCAACATCACGTTCTCAGGTTGTTCCTCCAGTTCTCTGCCTTCATTGTAAAAGCATTGTTCTGTTCACACTCGTGAGCACGTGGTCGTGTTTATCTTGATCTCATGGGCTTTTAAAGGTCAGAGGTTCTTAACTTGCTGCACAAACTTTTTGTACCAACAAGTTCAGTTCAGGAGGATTTTTCTCTTGTTCTCTCAGAGTTTCAGCTTCTTTGTACAACTACTACCTTCACATTTATCAATAAGGCAGCAGCATGTTCTCGTCATCATCTCACACGTTTTGTTTTCGTACTATGGCTGCAAGCAGATTATTTTCATTGTCGATTATTTCCTGGATGAATCAATTGGATGAAACATGTGGGTCAGTGTTTGTTAAAGTCCAAGAGGACAAATGTCTGTTCTGTCCAAAGTTGTTCACTCGACTGTCACAGTGGAGAAAAGAAACCAAGAAATATTCACACTGAAGAAGTGTTTTTACCAAAAACTACTGAAATCGATGATCACAATAGCTGGTGTTGTATTCAACCATTCATAACTGATGGATTCATACTTGCAGCTTTACTTTGTACAAGTTTTTGTTCTCATATGGTTTTATCCTGTTCATACAAGTATGATTGTGAACACAAGATAAAATATGTAAATTTAATGTACAGAGCGCAAAAAATAACATCTTAAACCAAAAAAGTCATGACGATAAATGATCTTATTGGCAGGTGAGGTGAACACACAGTACAATGTCACTTCAGTGTCAAACGGTCTAAACCGTATCCCTCACAGTAATCAGATTACTTCTAACAGTAGAGGACTGTCTCTGATATCAGATTACAAACTACCAGTTCAGATTTCACAGATTAAATTCAGGCTCCACAGCAGGAACTAAACTAAAGTGAGTCCATCTTTCATTCCTGAGGTTCTTTGGTTCCTTCAGTTCTTCGTGTGTCCACCTTTATTTCTGACTCTGACGACGCATCCACTGTGGTGGTCCTGGTCAGGTTCACACCAAACATCTGGACTCCATGTGAGCCCAACACATTGATCTCCATCTGACCAGAGGATGTTCTCCAGCATCCATCAGGCTTCTGTTCATGTTCTCTGGTGAACTTTGATGTGGAAGTTTAGCTGTGAGCAGCAGCCAGGTATAGTTCTGCTCCTCCGTCCATAGAGGCTGATGTTCTGAAGTGTCCTTCACACTGTGTGAGCTTCACACTAACTCTGGTCTCCATTGATCAGCCCTGTGCCAAGTCTGAAGCAGCTGCCTTTGTCTGGTGTCCACAGCTCCATAGTGACAGTAGTTGACTGTCCGTGGAGTCGTTGTAGGAGGACGACCACTGCAGCCCTGATCAGTGCTGCTGTGGCTCCTTCTGGACCTCCTGGTTCCTGCTCACACTGGGCTGCACTGGGTTCTAGCTGCTCACTGATCTTCTGGATCCTTCTCCATCTTTGTCCAGTCTCTCAGTCAGATGTTTCTCCTCCTCTGTTCAGGTCTTCTCCATGTGGAGCCATGATGCAGACATAGATAGACACAGTCCAGAGGTCCAGAACTGAGAAGGTTCTGCTGCTCTCAGCTCGTTGTAGAACCATGTTCATGCAGGTGGACTGATGGAGACCACAACTGGAATCACTTTGGTTCTTTGAGGTTCTACTTTGGGCTGATGTTTAGTATAGACTTTGTAAAGTGTTTCTGATTGTTCACCAGAGGAAGAATTAGGTAATCTGATTACTGTGAGTTTGTGCAGTACAATCATTTCACATTTGAGTAATATTACACAGAACTGCACTCACTGCTGCTGTAAACTGTAAATCACAAGGAGTCACAACAACAGGAGGACGAAAACTTTTTATGAAAATATTTTCTGAGATTTCTTTAAAAACTGAATCTTCAAGGTGTGTTCTACCGAAGGCAGTTCCACAGGTCAGGTAAGAGTCTACAGGTGTGCTGACAGGGCAGGTAAGAGTCTACAGGTGTGCAGACTGGGGGAGGGGCTGGCTGACTGTAACTGAGATTCCAACTGTGATTGGCTGCACACTGACACTTCAGGCAGGAGAGCTTTGATGTGATTTGACAGCACAGTGTTCTTGTCATTGTTGGGCGGGGTTAAAATGTATGAAGGTGGGGCTTTAGATGTTCCTACCTGTGATGACACCTGGAGCCTGGGCAGCCATGACAGCCTGAGGAAGTCCACCCAGCTGCTGAGAGAGGAGCGCCGGCCCAGCCAGAGCTCCGAGCACCGACGCTCCCACTGCCTCCTGAATGCACCACCAAAGAAAATATATTTAATACTGTGGAAAAATATATTAAATGCTGCAAAAAGATCTGTTAAAAACTGCAAAAAGTATATAAAATACTGCTTGAAATATACAAAATACTGAATAAAATGTATTATTACTGCAATGTTTGCTTTGTGGGCTACCTGAGCAGTGATCTTGGCGGTGGCGGCGGCAGCAGCCACGGCGGCAGCAGCAGGAAGTCCTCCGGGGGTGGTTGGCGTGAGGAGGGGCATGGGCGGAGTCACAGCCTTCCCCACCCGCAGGTACTGCCCCCCCAGGTCGAACAGGTTCATGGAGGCCACAGCGTCCTGAGAAGATTGAGCCTTATCATACTCTGCAATAGAACACAGGACCAGCAGGGTGCCGTCAGTTTGGTCCAAACCCACAGCCTCAGCAGCGCCCCCTGAGGCCGGGCGAGTCAGTGCACGTTACAGGAAGACCAGAAGTTTGACTGATTCATTTTTAATTAAAACAGTCAAACTTCTGGGGGCGCCCCCTACAGCTCACCTGGCAGCTCACCTGGCTGAACAGGCGACCCATAAACAGGCTATAGCTAGCTATAGTTAGCTTTAGTTCCCAACGCAGGAGTCGTGGGTTCGACTCCCGCTCACGACTCTTTGCTGCAGGTCTCTCCCGTCTCCTCCCCCTTCCTGTCTCTCTCTACTGCTCTGAATAAAGACAAAAGCCAAAAAACTACAGACCACCTTGTTTTCTTCAATGTCTTGTTCATGTTAACGCCTGGTACCACTAAAGGTCCATTACCTGAAGAATACAGTGAACAGGACTAAACATGCAGCTGATCCATCGTCCTTTAAGCCTATGTGACCTCCTTCCATCAGCTGGAAAACTCTTTCCTGCCTCCAGTGACTGGGTTTCCAACCAGACGATGCCCCTTGGCACACGGCGAGGTCAGCTAAAGCCTGGATGGAGAACCAGAACACTGGAACCATGCCTTGGCCCGCTCAGTCACCAGATCTACATCCAGCTGAAAACCTGTGGAAACCATCAAAGGCTAAATGGAGAACCACAAGCCCACAAACAAAGCACGTTAGTGTGAATGTGAGCAGCAGGAACGGGCTGCTGTGGCAGCAGAACCATGTCAGAACCTGGTGGAGAGCAGCCGAGACGCATGGCTGCAGTCATCACAAACTATGGTTCTGCCATCAGGTACTAACTCCTGTGCATCATGTGACTGAAACAGACAGAACAGGAACCATGGACCGTCTAACAGCTCTGGTTCTGGCAGCACAATGCCATAGCTGCTGGTGGAAGAACTTAGAACCAAGAAACCCTGGAACATGTCTGGTACCAGCTCTGAAGTTAAAGTCTGATCAGCTGGTTTTGTTGTTGTCAGTATATGTGTCCAAACAAATGGACCTTTAGTGGTACCAGGCGTTACAATGGACAAGAAGCTGAAGAAAACCAGGAGGTCTGAGCAGGTCCATGACTGTGTATTAAAAAAACAAACAACAAAAACAGTCTAAATTCAGTGATTGCATCTTCTTAATGACTTTTTTCCAGAACAGCAAAAATAATTCAATTAGTTGTTAAATATGAAAATAATCTCCAACTTCTTCAGAATCATGAATCACTTTGAGTCATTTCTAACAAACATTCTGAATTTTGTGCTTGTAGCTTCCTTAATGTGAATATTTTCTGAATCAGTGATGAAAACGACCTGCAGCCGACCCGAGCCGTCCTCGTCGATGAGCCGGAGCACCGCACACACCTGCTGGTTTGAACACTAACGTGTGTCTCAGGAGGACGTCCTGACCAGGACACGCTCAGAACCACACACTGCAGTTCTTGCATTCTGGTGATTTTTCTGACCAGTTTGTTCCTTTTCTGCATCAGTCTGTGGTGGAGACGTCTTCCTTCAGGTACATTGAACATTGTGTCCTACGAGCCCCTCAGACCTCCACCTCCAACAGCAGCATCCTCTAGACGCCTCATTCTCATTTAGTTTCATTGCTCTAATGTGGGTGGAGGTTCTTCTGCAGCATTCTAGACTATTCATCAGGCATCCTGTTTGAGTCCTGCCGCTGGACGCGGCCTGTTTAACTCACCGATGAAGCCGTAGCCTTTGTGCCTGCCGGTGGTCGGCTCTCGGGCCAACATGCAGGACTTGATCTTCCCGAAGGCCTCGAAGACGCTCTTGATGTCGTCGTCCGAGAGGTCGGGATGAACTGACGCCACGTAGATCCGGTTGAAGGCACGAGCTTCCTCCGCCAGCTGATCGATGATCGGCTGAGCCTGGCCGATGTTGCTGGGCCTCCCAACCTGACAGACGACGAAGAGGGAAAAGCAGTAAGACTCAGGAGAGTCTGAAACATGACGACAGAGGAGGGAGAAACATCGAACCTTCTGACAGATACTTTAATTTGTGATGGGACGTATGAAGGCCTCCGCTCAGTTTTTACTGCAACAGATGTAAACGTGATGGAGCGTTGAACACCACCACATCCAGCAGAACCTGACCTGCAGGAGAGTGAAGAGGCTGACGCTCTACTCTCCTGTTTTCAGTCTAATTCATTTACCAGAAAAGAGACAAAACACACAACGAACAAAGCTGAAGATGAATTTGACCGATAACACGATGATCGTCATGACGACGCTGCGGAGTTCTGGTGCCCTGATCATCTGCACACGGTGGTTCTGTCTGGGTCACCTTGATGTTCCTTCCTCCGAGGACCACAGAGTTCATCTGCTCCAGAGCCAGCTGGGCTGCTTCTGGCATCTCGTACTCCACGAAGGCGAAGCCCTGCAGAGACCAGTGAGAGCAGAACCGGTTCAGAAGAACCGCAGCGACCCGAACAACGGTCTGGAGCATGACAAAGAGAAATACACACCAAAGAGTGTGTGTGTCTGTCTGTCAGTGTGTATCAGTGTGTGTGTGTGTGTGTGTGTGAGACCTTGTGCTTCATGGTCACAGAGTCCCAGGACATGTCGATGCTCTTGATTGGTCCAAAGGGGGCGAAGGCCTGCCTGATGGTGTCCTCTCCGAGCTCGTAGTAGATGGAGCCGACGTAGACCCGACACATGATGGCCAGAGCTCTCTGCCGCTGGGCCGCCACCTGGACAACACACAGAGCTTCTGATCAGTCGGTACCGGTTCAAACCGGAGCGACGGAGGTTCCCTTCAGACTACAGAGGAGCAGCAGGACCTTTGCACCAGTCTGGTTCAGTTTTAGGTTTTATTCTGGTGTAGGATCCAGTATCAGCTTCCACACACAGAAATACGGCATCTCATGTCACATTGACCTGAAGCCAGGTGGTTTTGTCTGCATGAATTTAAAAGTCAACATCAACATCCATCATGTTCACTGACGTATGTGAAGCCAAAACCACGATGAAATGTGATTAGTGGTCAGCAGGCAGCAGAACAGAGGGACGGCTACTCACCGACTGCAGAGGAGACAGAGCGTCTCCTAAACCCATCGTCAGAGACGCCATCTGAGCAAAGACCACACGGACACAACAGTGATTAAAGCAGAAGTCATCAGGAGAACATGGCTCAACGTTTCCATCCACTGCTGCTCAGACGAGGCTCATAAACCTCTGCAGGACAACACATAAACCAAACCGATCGACTCGACACTGAGCTGTGGAACCAGATCACCTGCACAGATACGAGCTGTGTGCCGTGTTGGACTGAAAACGTCGAAGCTCGAACTCTAAAGACAGAATTAGACACCAAGATGAAAACACGTATTAGATTTATGTATTCATGTGAGAAAGGCTAGTTCCACTTCGACGTCTCTGTCAATTAAAACTTCAGTTCTTTTATTGATCGGACTAATTTTCCTCCTAAACGTCTTTTCTGCAGCCAATCAGTGAGTGGAGTCAAAACCACAGCTGTTCAAGTGAGCTGAGGTAAAATAACACACGTTGGTGAAACAGACTGAAGCTGATGTCACTGATGGTCCCGACACACAGCAGCAGGTCTGGGTTCTTCATGGCTCCACTCAACTGGAGTTCTGCTCCGGTTCCTGCTGGTTAGTCGTCAGGCTTCGGCTGACTGTCTGACAGCAGAAGAACCTGAGGAACACGTTGGGCTGGGAGTTACCTGCAGGCTGCTGAGCTGCTGCTGCTGAGCCAGAGTCTGTTTGACCAGAACGCTCTTGATGCTCTGCTCCATCGCATACTTCTTCGCCTGCAGACAGGAGACATCCAATCACAGCGCAGTCAACACAAACAGCTGGTTGTGATGTCTGTCCTACACATAGACTGTATAGCAGATGGACGTAGCTGCCGTCACGTCACCCGTTGGTTTCTGCACTGAGAACAGGAAGCCAGGGTTTTGCTACTTCCTGGTTGACATCATGGATTTTTGGAGCCAGTGACGCAAAAATCGTGGGAGGGGGCGGAGCCATAGGAGCATCGATTGGTCGGACGGATTGAGAGGCGGGCCCTCTCTGCCCGCCCACATTT